TTGGAGTAATATAGGGATGGGTGTGATGGCATCCTTACTTGCATTGATGGAGAAATGTGATCAATGAGAAGGAAGCCTTGACTCTCCTTTGATCAAAGCTCTTCAAGGGACGTCTTTGATGGAGGAAATGGACGAAAATGGAGGTTGAGTAGAAGGTGTTTGATGGAATGCTTGAAAGGTACTCTAGGGTTTGGCTCACTCTAAGGTAGATGAAGGCCCACTCCTAGGGTTTTTACTCAAGGTAGAGATAGGTAGGGTTCTTGGCCAAAAATGACCAAGAGAGACTAAGGAAAATATAAAGGTACAAAAGGTTCACTCTATATTAATTTTCAAAGTATTTACAAGGAGGCTAGCCTAGGGTATTTATAGATAATAATAATAACTTTATTGAAAACTGAGGTGTTACACTTAGTGCATAGATCAAGTTTACATTTAAGAAAAATGAAAATTATTTTATGTTTCATTTCATTAAATCAAATTAATAAATATTCATAAAAATATTTTATACATTGATTTGAATCCATATAGTAAACTATCATATGATTTTCAATCTTTTTAAAATTTGTAAACTTGACCTATAGTATTAATTCAACAATTAAATTATTAAAATTTAATATAAAATACGAGTTATTAAGTAGAGTAAGTCTACTAGAACTTACTCTTAGAGTAAATGAATTCCTCTCTATGTATATAAGATTTTAGTTTGTCATGGTGATCATAATTTTGTAGTAATTTTTATATTATAAAAAAAGTTATAACTATTTTATACGTACGAAGAATTAATACTCTCGACTAATTATATTCTAACGAGGTATCTTGTAGTGATATTTCATTAAAAAGTTGCTACTTTCCATTTCTTAATGAACTGACAAATAAAAATTAAATCAATATAAATCAAGCAATCATTACAAGAAAATTGTCATATAGTGACACACACCCTATAGTGACACTATACATGTCACTAAAAATTACTTTTATCCACACAATAACTACAATATATGTTAGTATATTATTAAAATTAAAGTGTGAGTTTAGGCTATAGTAACACACAAAATATGTTGTTAAATCTCATTCAAAATCAACACTAATTAAAATTGTGTGTAACTATATGTTAAATAGACATATACCTACATATATTGTACCTATAGTGACATTTTTTATATGTTACTATATGATATTGTACCTATAGTGACATTTTTTATATGTTACTATATGTAACATTTCTTGTAGTGAATCTATTTAAAGGAAACCATTTGTTGAATAATAAGTTCAACCTAGGCCATGACTAATTTAATGAACAAAAACCAAGAGAAATCATTAACAAAAATGTTTTGAAGCGTTAAATGTTGGCTATTCTTATTTCTCAGAGTTTCATGAGTTGTGTGTGTTTTGATGATTATGAAGGTTTAGCTAAAACAAAAAGAGATACACTAGGTTGTTTTAATCAAATTTTTCTTTCTTCTGTTATCTCAAAAGTTGAATGGTGTTGTCCCAATTCAAGACTTCTGCACATTCATGAAATTGATCATGTTCACTTTACTGAAAAAATCCATCACACATTCATGCCTTAAACGCACATGTAAAATGACAATCATAATTTATAAAGACTTAAATATGTTTTTAGTCCTTCAAATTTTAGAAAAATTTGTTTTTAGTCCTTCAAATTTAAAACTGTTGTTTTTAGTCCCTATAATTTTTAAAAATCTTGTTTTAGTCCCTTAGGTCACCAATAACATATTTGAAAATGACTAATTAAGACAGTTATACAATATTAATCAAATTTAATGTGATATTTTCACTAATAAAAATATCAATAGGTAAATTTTATGCAATAATGTTTGATAAATTTCTTAACAAAATTTGAATATAAGGACTAAAATAGTTTTTTTAAAATTACAGGGACTAAAAATAATAATTTTAAATTTGAAGGACCAAAAACAGATTTACCCTAAATTTGAGGGACTAAAAACATATTTAAGCCATTTATAAACATATCAAACATTGTAAAAATTTAGTTATTACTATACTTTACAAGATACAATATTGAAGTAACCATTAAAAGTAAAACAACCCATTAACATATCTCCAAAATACCTATACTTTAACACATCAAAAGTTCCCAATGGAATAACAAATAACAATTATTTTAACAAGTAGGCCACGACAATGCAAGTTCAAATGTCGTGATTAAGAGAAGTTTTAACCCGTTAAAATAAAGCAATCAAAAACCTATATCTTACATATCTACATTGTAACCTTCACCACCAACAGAAGTTATACTCTGTATTTTGACTTATTTTGTGTCTCCTTCAAAGGCTCTCTTACTTCCTTTGTGACTCCTCCGCATTTCCGACCTTACCCACTCTTTCAAACACCAATTTCCATTGGTTTTTACGAGAAACAAAAACTTTTTTTACCAATTTCTTTCTCATATTTTTATCCACATACAACAAAACTTATTATTATTGATAATTTTTTAATGGTAATATATTGATTGCCTCTATTTTATTATTTAATAAAATATTAATGACTAATATATAATGGCTACTAAAAATATATTTACATCACAGCAAAATTTATTATTAACGATAATTATTTATTAGTAAAAACTTAAGTCTCACGTCGACTAGAAATAAGATAATTAAAGAGTATATAAGTGAATGATAACTCTTACCTTACAAGTTTGTTTTATAAGGTTGAGTTAGACCTATAATTTACTATTTTAAGTTGATATCAGATTACTCACCATTACTAAACTCGATAGTTCTAATTAAAAAGAATAAAATTAAAATATATATAAGTAGAAGACAATCTTTATCTTACAAGCCTCACATCGACTAAAAATAAGACAATTAAAGAATATTGTGAATCACTTCCTAAACTTTTAGTGGCAATAGCAAAAGATATTAAATGTCCGTATAAAATGCCACAAAAACTTTTACATTTTTGCCGAGAAAATTAAAAAATATATAAGTAGAAGACAATCTTCATCTTACAAGTCTCACATCAACTAAAAATAATATAATTAAAGAGTATTGTGAATCACTTCTTAAACTTTTAGTGACAATAGCAAAAGATATTAAATGCCCGTATAAAATGTCACAAAAACTTTTACATTTTTACCGACCATTATAAGGGTCTTTACCAGCAGCATATAGAATAATTACCGTTAAATGTTTTAGCAACACTGCATATAATAGCTAATGGAAAAATGCCAGTAAAAGATTTTGTAACAATTTTTATTGCCACTAAAAATCATATTATATACCACTAAAAGTTTATTTTGTTGTAGTAACATAGACAAGGCTTGTAAGAAAGGAAAAAAAAAAAAAAAGGAATGTGACAGATGTTTTTGTCGTTAGTCGATGTAGAAATAACATTTTCGATTAATTTTATATCTTTTCATAATATTTTGTTTTTTGAAAAATTATCCTACCTATACAATGCATATAAAAAAATTATTAGTTATAATGAAAATAAATTAAAACAATGTCTATTACTAATATTCTTCAAAACATGGCTCATATTTTATACAAAAATATGACGCATCTAATAAAGATCATCATATCAACGCTATCTACAGTAAAACCTATTAAATATCCCAACAATAAAGCTATTTCACGCATGGTAAAGTTGAAAAGGTTTAGGCATGTGAATTATTTACCGTATTAAGCATACTTTTAAAAAACATTGTATAACATAATAATTATACTTTATTTAATACGTTTTATTTTTAATTTTTCAAACATTGACTTTCTGGTTGGTATAACAATAAAAGAAAAAGAGAAAGCAGCACCTCTTTTAGTTTAATATAAGAAAATAAATAAATAAAGAATTTTTTTATTTTAAAAATCAACTTGTCTCCATTTTCTTTTCATCTCTATTCAATAAGATAGAAGAAATAAGAAAATCATTATTTACTACTAGAATTTCTCTTATTACATGTGACTTTTTTGAGAATTTTTCATAAAAATTTGCAGGAAACGTTGTTCCTACAAATTTTTCTGCGAAATTTTATATGCAGGTAATATCTTCGTGGATAATATATTTTTGCGAATTTTAAAATTTGTAGAGAATTTTCTTGCAAAATTTCTTGCGAAAAATTCTTGCAGGAAAGTTTCTTGCAAAAAAAAAATTTACAGGAAAGTTTCCTATAAAAAAAAATTGCAGGAAAGTTTCCTGCAATTTTTTTCGCAAGAAATTCAGCAGAAATATTTTTTACGACTAAAATTAAAGAAATTACTATAAATTCTAGAAATAATTCTTCAACTTTCAAATGTTCACAATGAATTCATCCGAAACATTTGTTTCCAAGCCTTTAACATGTGATAGATAATTTTTTAAATTCTAAGATTGTAAATTATAAGCCTAACATTCAACCATACAAATCAACTTATAAGATAAGTGTTGCCCTAACTTATATACTCTTTAATTATTTTATTTTCAATCAATGTGAGACTTGAAATTTTTTTAAAATATTAAACTTACAAATTTAAATATTTTTTATTTTTTCTGTGGACTAAAATTTGCAGGAAAATTCGCAGGAAAAATTACCTGCAAATTTTTTTTACCATTTAGTAACCATTACTTGCGAATTTATTTTTGCAAGAAAATATGCAAGAAACAAAATAAAATTCTTACAATATTTTCTGCAAATTTTTATCATGGAAAAAAATTCTATGATTATTAAAATTGTAGCAAAATTTGTAAGAAATATCTATAAATTATTTTTCGCAAATAAATTTGCAAAAAATTTATTCGAATACTTTTTTACAAGAAAATCTGCAAAAAAATTCTGTAAATATTCTTTTACAAGAAAATTCATTAAAAAATGATATTTTTTTAGTAGTGATTTTTGTTTTCTGTAATACTATAACCCAACTTTAAATTATTCAATCATACATAGATAATTGTTTGAGTCAGCTACCAAACAAAAGCAGCCCTCATAATTTAAATAAAGTGGCATGAAGTCTTCGTCAGTCATACTTTTGGCCAACATAAAAGCACTCCCACACACAACACATACCAAGCACATACATAGAGAAAGGTGGCAGCTATTATTGAAGACGAACCTGAAACTCACCAATCAATTTTTCCTCGACGATCAGGTTCTGATCTGAATCCATTCTCATCTAGTTTTCCAAAAATTTATTTATCTTTTTGGTGTTTTAGCCATAGTATCTACTAATTTCTTATTTTTTGATGATTTATTGCATGTTCTGTAATTGCAAGTTCTCTAAGCAAAGTATATAATTGATTAACTATTTGTTGGGACAAGCTATTCACTCTCTAGTGTATTCTTTGACACTAATTGGGTGTTAAAGCCTTCTAACATGCTTTCTTTTTCAATTTTTATCCTAAGAAGTTGAATCTAGGCCATTCGGAAACTGATACCTGTTTCCAGAATGGTTAGCATGCACAAAGGATTTTCTTTTATATATTTTCAACTTCTTAAGGTGTGAAAAGCTGAATTGCAGATAGTAAAGAAAACGGTTCTACATTCAAAGTTTTGTTATAAGAAACAATCTAAATCAAGTCTATCCTAAATTTTTAAAGATGGATAATTATCAAATCATATCCCAAGGTAATAAGTATTGAAAAAATTCAAACATCACACTAATTAGAGATAAGATCAACAAATAATATATAAATAGAAAATAATATATAAATAGGAAATAGTCATTATTTTACAAATTAATTTTATAAGATTGAATTAAATTTATAATTCTTTTTTTAAATAATTTTTTTATCATAATATAATAATTAAACTGTCCTCTTTCTTTGGTAAAAAGCATTTCTCGTAAACATAAATTGTTTTCTTTTCATGCTTTCTATTATATAACCAAGTCAGTACTATCGTCAAAAAGCCTTACATATTGGCTTCCAGTGCTGCATGCGTTGCAATAACCTCTTTCTTTATATATATATATATATATTTTTATTTCTTTTTTATATATATATATATGAAAGACTTATTTACTTTAAGTGTAAGTCTATTCACACTTATTTTATTCAATAATTTATGTTTTACATCAAATTTTAATAATTTAATCATAATTAAAAGTTTTCAATGTATAAATCAAGTCTACAAAATTTTAAAAAACTTAAAAATTATTTGATATTTCATTTCATTAATTCAAATCAACGTATAGAATATTTTTATAATTATCTGTTCATTTGAATTAATGAAATAGAATCTCAAATAATTTTTAATTTTTTTTAAAACTTTGTAGATTTGATCTATATATTAAATTTTTTTAAGTAGACTTACTCTACCTAATATATATATAAGATTATAAGATTTTAGAGTAAATGAATTTCTCTCTATATATATAAGATTTTAGTTTATCATGGTGATCATAATTTTGTAGTAATTTTTATATTATAAAAAAAGTTATAACTATTTATACGTACGAAGAATTGATATTCTAGACTAATTATATTCTAATGAGGTATCTTTTCTTAATTATGATTTTTCTATTTACAAAATTTGAATATAATAGTATGAAAATCGAGTCTAATAATCTATGACATAGATATATTAAAATATTACACTCAAGTTTGGTCGCAATTAACTATGCTAGCGAATATCCCCCAAAATCATAACATATAGTGGTTCAAATTATAGTCACACGAACTTTTTTTCAAAAGAGAAATTGCATGATATCTTTGAATATTTAAGGATTTTGGTATTATAGCTAAGAAGCTTTATTTCCCTTTATCTCTGTCTCTTTTTGGTGAGCCAAACTCATTTAATATTAATTAACATAATAGTACTAAAATTTGTATATATCTCTTCCCTACCATAACAACCCTCTTTTTAAATTAAAGTGTATAGAGAATTATGACTTAGTTTGATTTTGGTATATAGCCATATACTAAAGTGAAGTGTTTGCTAGGAAGTTGAAGTTGGTTGCTGCAACAATGGCGAATGCTAGCAACACTTATGGTTGTTCATTATCTGAAACTGAATTTGAGATGGTGAAACACATCATCGACATTCCCGAGCTAGAAGAGCTATGCCTCTCAGAGTGTTGCATCTACAAGGTTCCTTTCAATCTCCGAAAGGTGAACGAGGATGCCTACACCCCTCAATGGATCTCAATAGGCCCAATTCACCTTTCCAAAGAGGAACTCAAGCCAATGCAAGAGCACAAGAAAAGGTACTTCCACTGCTTCTGGGAGCGAGTCTCAAACGAACAAGACATGAAGAACTACAAGCTCTACCTCGAGACCAAGGAAGAAGCGATTCGGAACTGCTACGCTGAGAAATTCCCTCACATGGCCAAAGAGAAATTCGTGGACATGGTGCTGTTGGATGCTGTGTTCATCATGGAACTCTTGTTGAGAAACTGCAGGTGGAAATCGGAAAGCTCCAAGCACGAGCAAGAGTATAAGCAAACCAAATCGTTTCGTCTGAAACACAGTGATGATCTCATCTTGACGCAGTCGTGGCTCAGCAGGGACATCACTAGGGACTTGATCCTTCTGGAGAATCAAATCCCTTTCTTTGTTCTCCACAAACTCTATGAAGACGTTGTCCCTTGTCAAGACAAGAAGAAAGAGCACACTGCAGGGTTTGTTGATCTTGCCATCGAGTACTTTGCTTTCTATGACACCCAAATGTCTTCTTCTGATGAAACCAAACTTGTTCTCCACAAGAACCAATCCAGGAAAAACTACTTCAGTGGCTCCCTCCGAAGTCCCAAGAAACCTGACAATAAGTCAAAGAACAAAGATAGGTGTAGCAAGAGTACAAGACACTTCACGGATCTGATAAGGTACTCAGACATCATATAATCACCTTTATAAATCAAAAACATTATGTTAACAACCTTTATTTCTTTTCTTTTTTCTCTTTGGTATAACATCATATAACTATAAACATACTACAAACACACTCTTTTACGCACTTTTTTGAATACACTCTTTTTAACTAGTTGGAATTTATTGAAAAAGATAAAACTAAAGTTGATTGGTTTCATATTTTATTTAATGATAATGTCACTATTGATTTTATAATTTTTAATAAATTTTAACCAATAAAAATAAATGTATTAAAGGGAATATATTAAAAAAGTGTACTACTCATATATTTTTTACTTACTATATTTACATTTCTCATTTTTCTGTCTTTTGAAAAAAATTATTAAATAATTCGGAATCATTAACCATAATGAATAACATATGTAATGGAATAGAAAATTAGAGAAGAAACTATAAAATAACTTTTTTGATGAATTAAAATTTTTATATGCATGTCATGAACATGTTTAAATATAAGTTAAAACTATTTTTGAAATAGAAGAAATTTTAATTTCTTCTAAATTTAGATCTAAACAGACTTCATGCATGCATGTAGTGATTAGTTGAGTTAATAGACACTTGGATTATTTCATAATTTCTTCTCTTTCAAGTTCTATATCTAAGTGTTAACTACAATTTGGTGTTCACCAAACTTTTTCAGGTACTTTTACCTTCCCACTGATTTGGGTCGCGACAGTGGTTGTGCCCATCATGTTTTAAGAACTGCAACAAAGTTGCAAGACTCGGGAGTGAGCTTTGAGAAAGATGTGAAGAGAAGGTTACTAGACATAACCTTCGAGAAGAAGCGAATCCTGAGTTCATTTCTTTGCTTTGGTTGCTTGCCATACCTGAACCACTTCAAGGCACGTTTCATAATCCCCCAGTTGAAGGTGGACCACACAACCGAATGCGTGTTGAGGAACCTCATTGCCTTGGAGCAGTGTCACTATCCCGAGAAGCCTTACATCTGCAACTACGTTTCTCTCATCGACTCTCTCATTCACACAACACATGATGTGGAGATGCTGGTTGAGAAGGAAGTGATCGTGCATGAGTTAGGAAGTGATAAGGAAGTGGCCACCCTTGTGAATGCCCTAAGCAAACACGTTGTGACAAACTCAACATGTTACTATGAAACTATAAATGAGCTGAACAAGCATTACCAGAACGCGTGGAACCGCACCATGGCAGCGTTGTGGTTGGTTTACTTCAGAGACCCTTGGAGGGCAAGTTCCACTGTGGTGGGGATTGCTGTGCTCGTTTTCGCTGTGTTCCAATTCCTACGTGCTGTGCGTGCTATCTTCTAGAATGTTATGTCCAGAGTGCAACTTGGATTGGAGTTTGGAATATCATGTATGCATGGCTTCAATGCTTCTTCGTGTCACTAATGTTATGTATATTCTTATATATGGTGGTTGTTTACTGCATTTGCAATTATGCATGGGTGAATGACTAACGAGTGTGTCTATATAGCGAATGTAATAATCTCATCGAAGATGATAATAATGCAATGAATTATGAATCGTACGTTATGATGCTACTATGGTTAGCAGAGTATATGCCCTAAGATTGACAGATAAATACAGTATGTCTTAAATATGTAATTACTAATTCGATCTCAGAACCCCAAGCGTGTGGTTCAGCAGTAGGGGTTGATCCACGCTTAAGCAAGGTCAGGGGTTCGAATCCTGCCTTGTGTATGCAGCCGCGTTAAATCTTGGGGCCAGCTATCCCACCCTTTGAGGTGCCTCCAACGTAGCGAGGAGATTAGTCACTGCTGTCGGCGGTGGATACTCCAGGGACGAACCAAAAAAAAAAAAAAAAAAACTAATTCGATCTCAGAGTTGGTATGTATAAAAAAACTTTGTTGAAATTCTCAATTTTTTAAATACGTCTGAATATTTCTAAGAATTAATTTATTTTTTAATAAATGATAATAAAACTCAGTATCAAAATATTTACAAGAGTCCTTGTATATGGAGACACACTACTTATTAATCTTAGTAGTCCGAAGTAGGGGATGTTTGTAAAAGACTCTGACGCTCAAGTTAATAAAAGGTGTACTTATTAAATGCAGTTGTTATTTGTCTTACATACTGTCACGATGACTTAACTTATTTTGTTTTTCATTTGTATTTTTTAATTCAATTAGGAAGTTAGGAGGTTAGTTAGTCTGTTTTTCTTATTATAGTTTGTTTTCTCTTGTATTATAGCAACTATATATACTTGTAATTGATCATTGTTGATCAGAATATAATATACAATTCTTGATTCCACATTCTTTGTACTTCTCTTTCAATGAAGTTCTCTTTCATAACATTTTCATGGTGATTTCTTTATCAGAATTGTAATATGGTATTAGCCTGTGTTGGGGTTTTGTGTTTTTTGCTCCACCTTCTTCCGTTTTCCATCATTGAAAATTTGATTTCTTGATTTGTTCCTATTTTTTTTTCATCAAAATTTTGATCATTTATCTTGTTCCTTTTCTTCTCTATTTCTTCCATTCATTCTTTTTTTTTAATCATACTCAATCATGACTATTCAAACAAATCCTCTCCTCGATCCTCTCAGTCCATATTTTCTTCCTTCCAATGAAAATCCTTCGATAAGTTTTGGTTTCTGCACCTCTAAATGATAACAATTATCTTTCTTGGTCGCAATCTATGTTGCTAGTTCTCAGAACCAAGAACAAACTCGCATTCATCAATGGATCTCTTACTCGACTTGCGAGTGAATCAAACAACTTGGGATCGTTGCAACAAGTTGGTTATTTCCTAGATCGTACAATCGTTGGATGCATCCCTAATTCTGAGTGTAATTTGGATGCCAACATCTTCTCAAATATGGAATGATCTCAAGAAACAGTACTACCAAGGTGATGTCTTTAGAATCTCTGAATTGCTTGAGGAAATCTACTCACTGAAACAAGGTAATATATCCATTACTCATTACTTCACAACCTTACAAGGACTATGGTAAGAATTAGATCATTTATGTCCTATACCTTCATGCACTTGCACTGTTACTTGTTCTTGTGATCTCATCCCTACTATTCAGTCATACAGGGACAGAGATTGTGTCATAAGATTTCTTAAAAGACTAGATGAGCAATATTCCAATGTAACATATCAAGTAATGCTGATGGATCCTTTGCCATTTGTGCAAAAAGTTTTCTCAATGCTATTACACCAAGAAAGAGAATTCCATGGTACCAATGATTATTAGGTGTTGGTAGTAACTTCTAATAATGAAAGGAACAATTATAAAGGATCCAAAACAATTAAAAGAAACAAAGATTACAACACAAATGTATGTTCCCATTATGGGAGGATTGGTTATCTAGTTGATTCATGTTATAAGAAACATGGTCCTCCATCACACCACAAGCATGACAAAGTTGTGAACCAATATCAATTTGTCTCTGATGATGATCAATTTGTCCAATCTCAGAAGGTAGTCTCCCATAATTCAAGGAATATGTTTACTCCAGAATAGCATCAAGCCCTTCTAGCCCTTCTTCAATAATCAAGTAGCACACCCAGTCACTCTGTGAATCAACTTGCAGGTCCTTCTACCCTTTCTTCTCCTAAACCATCGGGTATAATTCTATTTTTCCCTTATTCTCATAATAGTGATTGCTAGATCATAGATACTAGAGCTAGCCATAGATCACGTTTGTAAAAAAACATCAATTTTTTTCAATCCTATAAAAGAATCAAGCCTATACTGATCCAACTTCCAACATTACAAGGAAAATGATGAATTGCCACGGAAAAATTGCGATGATTATCCTAAAACCGTTGTCGCTATGATATTGTGACCCTTCATATGACAGTTTCTCCCAACCGTCGCAAAATTTTCCAACATTGCGACAGTTTGTAGTAAATCGTCGCAATCTACATCTAGAAATTTATCTATATTGAGGTAGTTTGTAGTAAACCGTCACAATCTACAACACATCAATACAAAGATAAGGCAATTGAAAGAAGAATATTGCTGGTTGTCCACAAGAAGCCGCATCAGAGGCCTTGGAGATGTTATTTGAAGCATGTAGTTATGCTCCACTAATCTCTCAAAGTGTTGGTTTTTTAAGTGACTTCTGACTCTTATGCTTCACACTCTCTCTCCACTTAATTAAGTGAGACATCAAGTGGGCTTCTCAATTTTGGGTCTTTTCTCTACATAGAATGGGAGTCCAATACCCAACAAATCTCTCCCTCACAACTATGTGGAGATAACCGCCAAACTGGCGATCTCACAACAAATTTCAAATTTTTCTCTTGGCAATGCTTTAGTCATCATATCAACTCCATTATCATCGATATGAATTTTAGCCAACTCCAACAGCTTAGCATCCAAAGCATCACGTATCCAATGATACCTTACATCGATATGTTTGGACCTAGAATGGAAAGTTAGATTCTTGCCAAGATGGATAACACTCTGACTATCAACAAATAAAGGATATTTTTCCTGTACAAAACCAAGCTCCTGCAAGAATTTCTTCAACCATAGCAACTCCTTGCATGCTTCAATAATGGCAACGAACTCTGCCTCTGTATTGGACAATGCTACACACCTTTGCAACCTTTGAAATTCATTCAAGTGATCTGAAATGGAAGAACTTTCCCTGTACCTCAAATTCATCAGACAATTCAACAAATACAATTTATTATTTCCTGATTTAGAAGCATACAAGGACTCAATCTTCTCCCATAAAGTTCTAGCATGTGTCTCATTTGCAATGTGATTATAAACATTATCTTCTACAAATTGCCGAATAAAACCACACACATGTTGGTGTTCAAAATCCCAATCTTCATCAGACATAGAATCCGGCTTTTGAGTAGTAAAAGAGAAAAACCTTATATTTTGTATAAGATTTGAAACTAATTAAGAGCTATACTCAACTTTATAGCTTGTTTCCATGAACAAGGTCATGGTAAAATTGAAAAGAATGATAAAGATAGCTTATATAACTTATTCCACACTAATAAATGGTAAGGGTAGTGAAAAAAATTGGTACTTTACCCTTAACTAAGTAAAATATGAAAAATTCGTTTCTTCTTTGATTTTTTTGAATGCAGAACATGAAAATAGAAGTGTATAACTAAGCTAAAATATAACAAGTTGAAATGAAAAATCTGCAACTTCACATATACAAAAAGGAGAAAAACAGATATGATATATTTGATTTATGAACTCAATTTTGTGCACATTAAAAGTGTTACAATAAGTGTTTAAATACTAAAACTAATTAACTCCTAATTGAGTAAAATAAATAACAAATTATGACTAACCTAATAAGTAAAGATTTTTTTCCTACAGCTACATTTTGCTTTTTTTTTTACATAAACAATCTTTAATCAAACTTATAAGTAAAATAAAAAACTGTAAAAACTCGAAAGTATTTAATTATGATAGTGGAAAAATCTCAACTATCAATAGTTTTGACATTCCCGATGAATACTTCAAACCTCCATGTCTCTTGTCTAGATCCAAACTGACTTGTCAGTTGAAAATGACTTAAATGAATTAATTTGTACTACTTATATTGCAACATGTATCTGCTTTTCTATAGCTTATCTCATCAGAACTCCACAGTTAAGTGTGCTTGACTTGGAGTAATATAGGGATGGGTGTGATGGCATCCTTACTTGCATTGATGGAGAAATGTGATCAATGAGAAGGAAGCCTTGACTCTCCTTTGATCAAAGCTCTTCAAGGGACGTCTTTGATGGAGGAAATGGACGAAAATGGAGGTTGAGTAGAAGGTGTTTGATGGAATGATTGAAAGGTACTCTAGGGTTTGGCTCACTCTAAGGTAGATGAAGGCCCACTCCTAGGGTTTTTACTCAAGGTAGAGATAGGTAGGGTTCTTGGCCAAAAATGACCAAGAGAGACTAAGGAAAATATAAAGGTACAAAAGGTTCACTCTATATTAATTTTCAAAGTATTTACAAGGAGGCTAGCCTAGGGTATTTATAGAAGGGAGGATGCATTTAGGGTTACATTTGAGAGTTTATGGCCAACTAATGCAATCCAAATGCACTTCAAATGAAACCTAAATTAACCCTAGATGCTACTTGGTGGCCAAGGATGAAATCTTTGGGTTTGGTTAAGCTACATCTAGGTGCATGATAAGACCATGCAACCTAGGTGCCCTCCACTTGGGCCTAAGCCTTGCCAAGTCCAAAAATAAATCTAATGCCACCAAAAAAACATGTCTAGGCCTAGTTTCCAACCTTAATAAAATACCCTAGCTTAATAGGTAGGGTTTTTGTCTCATCTCAATAATGACATGTCAACACTTCCAACACTAAGCATGAGTTTTCACACTTATCGTGAGATAAAGATCAACCAGCACAAAGTCCCTAGGATTTTGGCGCTGAGTGAGGAACTCAAATTCTCCTCTAGAAGGCTAACATTGAGTAAGTACCTAGGCTCAACGTGGGACTTGAAATTTCTCAAATGATTCTCTGTCAGGCTGAGGCTAAGCACGAGACTGAGATTGAGTGTTGAGACTTAGCCAAAAGTTTC